TAATGTCCTCCAAGTTCATCCATATTATGCAGTGTTTTGCAGACTCTACATTATTCTTTAGTGCTGCATAGCATTCCATTATGTGTACATACCATAGTTTGGTCGTCCACTCTTCTGCTGATGGGTACATAGGTCATTTCCATGTTTTTGCTATTGTAAATAGTGCTGCGATGAACAAGAGTGTGTATATATCTGGTCCTGTCCTGGCTCTCACACCTCTAGGATATATACCTAGTCATGGGATTGCTGGGTCAAATGGTCCTTGTACACTTTTTCATACTTAATGCATGCATTCGTCTCCCGAAGGGTCCAGAGTGATTTGCAATCAGGAAATGTTCACATATGCTTTCTCTAGGCACAGGGAGGGCGGGGGAGCAGTCATCCCCTGGGAGGGGTGGCCTGGCCTCCCATGCCCCCCCCACACACCAGCACACCCCCGTGGAGGTGCTCTCCCCTCCCCCGTGGAGGGCTCCATTGGGGTGGGTGCCCGGGAAGGGGAGAGCGCTGGTGAATGATCACTTCAAGATTCGTGTATCTTACACCTCCATCTAAATTCATTTTTCACCAGTTTTTTTTCCTTTTTTCCACTCTCATGCTTTTCTATAATTTCATTAAAATTCTGTAATTCGAAGTTCAAGTTGGGAAGCTGAAGGTGTGATCCTGATGCTCAGCAGTCATCCGAGCTCAACTGCAAGCCAAGGTGCGTCTGCACCCAAGTTCAGATTCATGCCTTGGCAGAAGGACCGTTCACTACAGGTCACCGCCATTCAGAAGAGGTCACAGAGAGCCAGGACTCTTGCGCTCTCTTACAGGGCTATCGCAACAGGGGTTCAAAAGTAGTGAGAAAAACAGACATCTTTTTCTGAAGCTCTGGCTCATAATTAGCTATGGGAAATGTTTCCATGTCCCACCATGGCATGTCACATATTAACAATGGATAGACGGCACAGCACTGTTTATGGAAGGGAAGGCACTTCTGATCTTAGCCTCAGGATCATTTCTGTTTTCCGGCATCCTCACCCAGCACCTTGCCAGCATGCCTTCCACATTGCGTCCTTGTATTTTTGGTTGAATAAACCAACGGACACCACCCAAGGCTGCCTCTGTAGCCTCCTCGAATACCAGGTCGAGTTTGGGTTAATCCAGTAAGCTTAGCCAGCCGCAGAGTATTTTCAGAGATCTCCGCAGCATCAAAATGATCCAGAATGTTTTATCTAAAAGCCTCATAAAGCTGCTTAATACCACTTAGCACCTTAACAGGAAAGTGCAAAACCCCCTTTTTATTTTCAAGCAGTCCCCTCGCTTCTCTTTTGCGGTTTACAAGACATTTCAGCCTTTTCTAAAATTTTTACTTTTGAGCCAAACAATTTGCCGACTACAAGCATTTCTTCCTATTTTAATAGCTTCATAACATTTTAACAGTAGGTGGCGCTGCAAATACACAAAAGGAACTTTGTACAGACCAACAGAATCGACAGCTTTATTTCATGAGTCATTACATAGAAATACGCCTTTTAATACTTCATATAAAGTTATTGACAATACAAATTTTTTTTTTCTTTTTCCTTTTTAATGAAAATGATTTAACTTAGAAATCTATTGTGAAACTTGTCTAGTTTTGCAATTCTTCGATATTCCAGTGCAAAAATAGACAGCATAAAGTGCTTGGAATGAAGGGCCAATGATAAAAAGCACAAAAACATAGCTTCATCCGAGGGCTTAAGAATGGAGGATAGCATACCTAATCGTTACTGAAATATAAACATTCTATAAAAAGGGACGCAACAATTTTGAAAAAAATTAGAGCATATTACTATAGTACTATATCCTGGGAAAGAAGGTTGGGCTATCTACTTCCATAGTGATACCGCCTCGGAAACCCAAGGAGGGGTCACTATGAGTCGGATCTGACTCGACAGCAGCAGGTTATATTACCAGTAAAAGGAGCCCTGGTGGCACCATGGTTAAGTGCTTGGCTACTAACAGTGGTTCCAACCCACCAGTGGCTCCACGGGAAAAAAGAAAAGATTCATGATCTGCTCCCATAAAGATTACAGCCTAAGACACCCTATGGGGCAGTTGTACTCTGTCCTGTGGGGTCGCTCTATGAGTCAGAATCAACTAGATGGCACCTAACAACATAACAACAACGTATTACCAGTAAATAGTAACAAGGATACAAATTAATATCTCAATATCAAAGTGGTTCAGTATTACATGACACATGGCTCTTTGGAAAACTGTAACCTGATATATACAACCACAAGAAGAAAATGCAGACAAATCCCTTTAGTCAGTGATTACAGTGAATGAATGATGTGCAACATTTAATAGTCACAAAGCATATGCTTTTGATACAGATACTGAAATTCAGTAGTTTGAGGTTGGTTTGTTTTTAACAATGAACTGTGCTGGGCATTGATTTACAGAGGGCTCTTTTCCGTCACTGTTTTGTTTTTTTCATATTCACAGTTGTTAGTAAGGTTCCCAAGGTGTCCAAAAGAAGGTGAAGCAGAAAGCTTTGAACACTTTTTTTTTTTTGAGAATTTCTAAAACTCACAGTTACATTTTCCACAGGGACTATATAAAAGTTGGACTGAGCATAAAGCTAGCAAAAATTTCTACCATAGTTAGGTTTACACAGAAAAACCTAAAAGATTATCATCTGGACAATCTAAATGGTAACAATATTGATGAAGATGTGTAATTGTAGACTGTTTCTAGTTTAGTAAGTTTTTTTTTAAATCTACATTAAAAGTTTTGTTTTTGTTTTTTAAGAAAAGGGGTAATACAGTGGCTTTTGAATTTTTAAATATGGCCTCAAAGTTACAGTACCTCCAGCAAGGAGCTGCCCATGGATTTAACGTAAAGGAGAATTAGAACATATAATGGGAAATGGGAAAACCAACAGAAGTTTGAATTTTGAAAAATATTTTGATAGGAGCAACTAAATTATTCTGTGAATTTAAAATCATTAAAGATAGGGAATATCTTTAATGAATACATGCTGATAATTACTGGAAATATGCCTCCATTACATATTACATGTTTATCATCTCAGGAAATATTGACAATTTCTAAAACAGTCCTTTTCACTTTTCAAGTAATGAATTATTTAACATCCTAAAATTTTTACCAAAAAAAAAAAAAATACAGATGAATTTTAAATAGATCTGAAATCTCACATCGTTAGAGTTAATACTTAAATTTTAGAAAAAGGATAAGCTAATGATACTGAAAGATCACTTGAACCTTACACCAAATAGTACTTCTCATATTTTTGTCTCAAGACAGATGACATTAAGCATTGCCGAAATATTTTCATGAGTGTCTACTGACCAAAAAATTAAGATTGGATTGAAATACTTCGAAAAATACTCCCTGTAAGGTTGTTTTCTTCGTGATAGGGTAGTGGTTGAAGAAAGGAAAACGTTGAGATTGCCAAGAGGTTTGTAACGGGTTGTCGAACATATGCAAAGCCAGTTTTATGACGGTACAATACCATAATCCCAAGCCGTGTTTTCAACAAGTTTCCAAGTTGCCAGTTTGTCTGTGAGAGAATTTGTTGTTTAGCCTATGACACTGTGACACTTGCACTTTCTTGGCATTTGTAATTGTTGCAAAATGGGCTGCCCCACAAGAACCATATAAACAACTGGTATTTGTAAACCAGTGAACTGAATAACGTGTCACAAGAAGCCCACCAAGACTTCATTTCTCCTCACACCAATCCATACTTACTCAGCATACTCAAAAACTGATTCCAACAGACTGAGTTTAAGTGTACTCTAAATGATCTTAAAGAAATTCAGATCTAACATTGTCATGAGATCTCTACCATCACACTGCTTTCACTTGTCAGCCTATCCACGTGCAACCTTACGTGAGAAGAAAAAGAGTATGGCGGCATGGCCAGACTCCTCTAGACTACAAGGTTCTACAGAGTCCATTCAAAGATTTCAGAACTCACTGACAGACCTTAAGAATCCAAATAACATTGAAAGTACAAAGATACTTGTCAAAATACAACTCCATCTTTTCATATTCTAGATTAATTCAAAAAGCTAGAAATAATACTACCCTTGTGTCAAACAACAAAGATTTGAGATGCAGTGTACCATGTGATTAGACAATCAGGACAGATGGGCACAGGCCTCCCTGGGCTTGAAAGCCACCCCTTGAATCCCAAGCCCTGGCCCCAACAGCTCGCAGCCACAGCAGTTTGGGTGCTGTTTCTTTGCTTCTTACCAGGATCTAAGTACGCATCAGAGTCCCAGAAAGCCCTGGAGATCCACGGCTCCAAGTGAGTGACAACATGACAATGGAACCAAGTCTCAGGTGTGCAGAGATGCCTACATTTTGTATGCTCCCAGCAGAGGACATCAAAGCAGGGCACATGGCACCATTTTGTTGCCTGATATTTAATGATGTTGATAGACTCTGAGCACAGCAGCTTTTACAAAATTATGTGTGACACACCGTGGTGCTTTCTGGGCAACTTGGCACTAGTAATTCTGGTACACTCATTGCCAGCAATGGATGTGTCACCAGGAAACCAGTCTCCTGGCATGGCATGGCTTTAATGAACGAGGATGTGCACGCCTTCTGATTTTGGTAAGTAACCACTGGCCATGATAACTTGATGAATTATTGTTGCAATCCCAGTGAGAATACAAGGGAACAGAAGAGTATGATTTCAAACCCTTATATCCACTGGGTTCCATACTAGAGTTTCACATGGGAGTAAAGTAATACACTAAATTCAAGTCTTTTTCACTTGAGAGCCACACAAGTCATGGCCTACAAAGGCACTGCCCCTGTAATGGAATTTTGTTTTTGTTGCATTGAATTGCATTGCATTGAACAGTATCAGTACGGTATCCAGTTTATTTCTCCCCACAGAAACTTCTGGCTGTTTCCTCTGGAACACTTCACATGGTACACACAAAGGAAGAACTAGTTCTTCTTTTCTTTCAGCCAACCTGTATGAACAGGATTCTTCATACATAACTTTCTTTCACTTTCTCATCCTGCAGAAAAGATGTAAGAACTGCAACGTCCACTACTGTCTGGTTTTTGTGTAATGACAGGTCCTTTAAGTGGTCATCATCACTTTGGTCCTTGGCAAAGTTCACAAATACCTGTCAAAAGAGAGATAGACCTCTATAAGCACCTGTCAAAAGACAGACAGGCCTCTACAAATACCTGCCACCTTGTTCCCTCTTTATGCTAGCTGCATTTTCTCCATGTTGAAATGAGGCCAAGTCGGAGAATATAGGATGGCTTAACAGATGAACCAGAAAGCTTTCTAGGGGGAGGTAACATGTTTGAAAAGGTGTAAGTCATTTCCACTGACCTTCTGTATTGTCCCCTAAGTCATCACTCACCTCTTTACTTTGGAACATACAGGCTTGATGAAAGAGAAAGAGCTGAAGAAAGCTAACATTTAAAGAATACCTAGTAAGGACCGAGATCTGTTTGGCATTTTATGGCATCTAATTCAAATGGGTTAAGATAGCTGGCAAAATGCCTTGTGTAGGTATTCAATAAATGGTATTTATTATTATTATTATTATTATTGCAGTTAATTCTCACAGCAGCCCTATAAATTACACAGCATCATCTCTCTTTTCAAGAGCATAGAGGTTCAGCAAAAAATCATAGTTAGCATAAGAGAGGGAATTCGAGCTGACATAGTCTAAGCTTCTGTGGGCCCCCTGGGGCTCAGAAGGAAACCCCTCTTTGACACTCAAGGCTTACTTGGTCAAGTGTTGTCTGAGAAACAGAGTAGTCTTCTATGTGGAGCCGCTTCTTGCTCTGGGAGAGGATGCTGAATATCCTGGCCAGAGAGGATAACGAAGATGGAAGCTGGTACTGCAGCATATTCCGGTGTTTCTCTTTCAGGACACTTCCTGGAAAGGCGAGTCCGAAGAATTCCTGGACAGGCTTTAGGTCTGGGTTTGATCCCGCTATTCGTACAACTATTGTGTAACCATCTCCAAACCTGGAAGCAGGAAAAGTCCAAATGGAGGATGATCTCAGTATTTAACCCTGAGAACCCAACTTGGGTCAAGAACAAGGGAGGTCCCTAACAGTACCAGAAGGAACAGAACCACAGAGGAGGCGCCAGTTACGGTATATGCCGTGTGAGAAACCATGGCGACGGCTTTAAATACGTGATCTCACGTCATCCTCACCCTGACCCATAAGGTCTGGCAGAAGTTACAAAGAAAGAACCGAAGCCCAGGAGTCAGTCAGGGGCACAAAGCTCACAAGTGGAAGGGCCAGGAGCAAACGCACTTGGGTCTGGTTCCGCAGCCTGTGCTCTTAGCCACAGTGACATGGATAAATTACTTCATTCTGTCTACGTGGGAAGGCTTCCAGGCAGCCCCTCCTAAGAAACTGTCTCGGAGTGGTCAAGGAATTTGCCCCCAGGGTGCACAACTAGTCAAGGATCAAGATAAGCTGAAGGCAGATGTTTGACTTGGAAGCCCTCATTCTTTCCACTGTACCATTTTGCTCAGCTTTACTTCCTTTTATTTGAGATCTACCATCTATCACGCACAGAAGAGTAAACATCAAGCTTTCTCCCTCAGTATAAGCCCAAAGAATCCACCTTTGGTACCTGTTTTTCAGATGCTGAACACTGCCCAGACACCGGAACTTCCCATTGACCATAACTGCCATCCTAGTGCAAAGAGCTTCACACTCTTCCATGCTGCGGGAAACCAAAACAAGGTTTTAGTTTTAGAGAGATGCTCTATAACCATCCGAGCCTCCCCACAGCATCGGCCTGCCACAGAAACCGACTCCTAGCTCCTAGGCCATAAAAGCATCCTCCAACGAGTGCATGAAGGTGTTAAGATGATGCTACTGTTCACTGCAGTGCTGTTCACAGACGTGAAAACAAAAAAAAACAAACTTGGAAACACTCCAAATATCTGAAACAGGGGGATGAGGTAAATAAAGGTATATCCCAGGTGAATGCTATCCAGCTAAAATATCATGACACCCACATTTAATGACTAGAAATAATGTTTACAATATACTGCTAAGTGTAAAAGCAGTGTATGTACTATGCTTGTATTTTTGTTGCTAAAACCGATCCATGCACACACACATCTGTGTATGTAGATTTGCATAAGAAAACAACTACAGAGCCATACGGTCCAATGATAATAATGGTTTTATCCAAGTGATACAATTTCATGTGATTTTAATTGTTTTTCTCTTTGCCCTTCTGTATTTCCTAATTTCTACACAAGTCATGTATATTACTTGGCAAATTTAAGAATCACACAACACAGAAGCCAAGGCCCATTTTCATACAGACCTGTGAGATGTTAGCACCACTGATCTCCCCTCCTTGATGATACTTAGGGCACAGTTCCACAGAAACCTCCGGGCTTTGGGATCCATGCCTGTGGTCGGTTCATCCTGTAATTAGAATAAAGTGAGTCTTTTACCGTTTGCTGAAAAAGCATCAAAGACAGGTTTTATTTTATTTCTGAATGTAGCAGCATCTTGGAAACAGCCTATATTTTAACTTACTGTTAACTTCTAGTTATGTCTTCATGGAACAAAGAACCAGACCTCACAAAGGAGAGTAAGTTTCATACTCATTTATAACCAGTTCACTTTTTTAAATACCTAATTAAAGCAGGAAACAATTCTAAGCAAATTTTTATGAAATTAATGAACTGGAGAAAAAAAAAAGGAAAGGGCAAAGTCTTCATCTTTTCATGAATTAATAAGCATATGCTAAAAATTCTTCTTGTCTGAAATTACTACTGAAGTCAGCATAAGACTTGGGTAAAATTCTTTTTCTTCATGTTTTATTGTAGTTCAGTCCAGCTTAGCTTGTCATCTTCCACTTGCTAGTCTAAAAGAAACTAATTCCAGACTCACATGATCTGGGTAACACAAAAGCCTGAACCTAAGACTTCTTATAAGTTTCAACCTCAGCGCTCTTCCCTTCTATAGCAGAAAAGGGTAAAGGCTGCTGACTGGTTAAGTCTTCCCTTTTTCACCCTGTGTGTAAAAATGCTACCTTAGGGGTCCTGAAGAAGCTGTATCCACACCCTCTATCCTCGGGGAATGAACAGAAAGAATGTTCCAAAGAAAAGTCATGCCAGAAAAACAAGATGCCTGGAGCATCTCTATCTGGGAATGCCTAAGGGCATGGTGTATAGTGCTTAAGGCATCTGGCTGCTAACCAAAAGGTCGGTGGTTTGAACCCACCAGCTGCTCTGTGGAAGAAAGATGAGGCAGCCTGCTTCCGTGAAGATTTACAGCCTTGGAAACCCAGTGGGGGTTGCTATGAGTTGGAATCAACTCGATGGCAGTGAGTCTGGTTTCTGGAAGGGCATGGTAAAGCCACTGAGGCGTGTGTTGAGGGAAAAGAACAAGAGAGAGTCCCTTGGGTTCTCCAAGGCTGCTCTGCTATTTCTGGTGGGGGCCTGCCACTGCCAAGTCAGTCGTACGACAGCCCTGAGCATCCGGGACTTTAGAAAAGGGGTATGTTCCACTCATGCCAGACGACAGCTTCCCCTGGACACACACACTCACCAGAAACACCACGGGAGGCCCCCCAATCAGAGCCATGGCCGTGGAAAGCTTGCGTTTGTTGCCTCCACTGTAGTTCCCGGCATATTTTTCTCCGTATTTCAGAAGGCCCAGTTTCCGAATTGCCCACTCGCCGACCTAAAGGGAAGAAAGCAACTTGACTTTTGTTTGGCTTGGAAATTTTATCATCTTTTCTTAGTTTCACAGGAGAAAGATGTGGCAGGCCACTTCCATAGAGATGACAGTCTTGGACTCTATGGGGGAGTTCTGCCCTGTCCTATAGGATTGCTAAGAGCCAGAGTTGACTCAACGGTAGTAAGTTTTGTGTCTTCTTACATTTACATATGAAAGTACTCTCACTGAGTAGGAACCGATTCTATAATCACAGCCTGGCAACTGCTGTGGAGCAGAACGGGGTGAGGGGATTGATGTGAGTAGGGGCACTCCCACGCTGCCTACCAGCACAGGCCTGTCCACACGTCCCAGCCCCATCACCACCATTCCCACTCCAGAAGTAGGTGCAAAGAACCAGCATTTCATAATGCTGCATCCAAGAGGACAGTGGCTGGATCGATGGTCATGTGTGACAGTCAAAGCCACATGTGCACTGTCAGGATGCCACTTTGTGTGCCCACAGTACCTTGCCAACTTCTTTCTCGGGGACTCCTCTCAAGAGAGCAAAGAACTCCACGTGCTCTCGCCCAGTCAGCAGCTCCGTGATGGCATCAAACTGAGGGCAATAGCCCATGTTCTGATGCACTTCGTGGATGTTTGATAAGATACTGCGGAGGAAAGGGAAACTGGTCAGGTCTTAATCATTCACAGATACTCTGATGAGACAGTCAGGCCTGAAGCTCCTATAAAGTATGCTTGCGTGTGACAAAAATATTAGCGAGCACACCCAATGCTTTTTAAAGCCAGGGTGACCACCTGACGGTCTGGGTGTCCTGCTTCCATCTTTCCCAGCTCTTGCACCCGGCTTCCCAGATTCGGCCACAGTTCCCAATTGCCAGGTCCATCCCAACTGCAGCAGCCTCTTTACCAACCATTTGGATCACACCATCTTGGGGCTTTTACCCAACCCTCCTTCTCAGACCTTGACTCTGTGGCCCAGTCACATGGCCCACGTGTCCTTGTTGCTCCGAAGTTTCCTTTGTGGTCGTTCAGACACAGGGAAGGCCCAGCGACTCTGGACGCGAGCCCTCCCGCCTTCTGCTGCCCAGGCACTGACACAGATTTATAGGGCATACTTCAGACCCCTTGTCTTTTTAATTGCAGACTCCCTGAGAATCTTGTGACAGGAAAAATTACACCCACAGACCTAATTTCCCACATTTGGGGCAGGTGGGGAAGCCGCTGCCATTGATTCAGTACTGATTCACGGGGCCCCACTGTCTCAGAGAAGAGCCACACTCCACAGGTTTTCAATGGCCGTGATTGTTCAGAAGCAGACCACCAGGCCTTTCTTCTGAGGTGCCTCTGGGCTGGTTTTTCTGTTAGCAGCTGAGCACCTAACCATTTGTGGCACCCAGGGATTCCCTTGACACAGAATGGTGGGAACTTCTAGGCCCTGTGAAGCCAATCTCAGGTTGAGAACCCTGATAAGAGGAAGCTCTGGGTCCAGCCCGATGCCTACACTTCAGGCACCTCTGGGCTGTCACGGGCTTGGCCTTTCAGCAGAACTCATTCTTCCCCATAAACCTCATGTTCCCCCAAAGGGCCAACCTCTTCCAGAATTATGACTGAGGCAGCCCATACACACAGTGTAAGGCCCTCTCAGCCATGCCACTCGAGCCAGATCTTACAACCAGACCCTGGGACAACTCGCAGTTTGGGCCAGTTTTGCTGCCGTTGTATGCCCAGGAGCCTGGTAGGGACTAGGAATGAGTCCAGAGAAGCAGCTATGCAGACTTAGGCCAGCGATTCTCAGAACTGCCGCTCCCTTAAGCCTCCTCACACTGCTACTGAAAACACCAGTAAGAGACAGAAGACTCATGAGCAGACTATGTTCCTTGGGCTTTTCAACTGTATTGGCTACTGGTACCCAGTCCAGTGTTTCCAAATTGTGAGTCACCACCCATTAGTGAGTTGTAAACTAACTGCAGTGGGTCATGACCAGCACTATTTTAATGACATGGTACAGAACTTAGTGAGAAATATCAGAGTATTTACAAGTAACAAGGGTAAATATTATTTTATAAAACCTTTTTAAAGTTATGCGTGTGAGTGTTGATGTGTCTGTGTGTATGTACTGGGTTGGGATGTAAAATGTATTCTTACTATGGCTCATGGGCAAAACGTTGGAAAGCCACTGCCTCACACCATCTTTCCACACAATAAAGCCCAGGAAAGGACCACGTGTTCAGAGTACTCAAGAGCAATATTGTTTACAGGTCTCCAAAGTGTAGCTGAAGGAGATTTGGTGGTGCAGTGCCTAAGGCATTTGACTGCTAGCTAGAAGATTGGTGGTTCAAACCTACCAGCCACTCTGCAGAAGGAAGATGGGGCAACCTACTTCCATAAAGATTTACTGCCTCAGAAACCCAATGGAGGCTGCTATGATTGGAATCGATTCAAAGGCAGTGGGTTTGAGTTTTTTAAAAACATAGCTGTACCCCCAAAGACTGAATTGCTTATTCGTCTGTGTGTTCTCGGATAATGGCCTGATGGAGGCCTTACCAACTAGCATGCCCTTTAGGGAAGGCAATTTATCAGGTACATAATCCTTGACCTTCTAGGAATTTTCCCTGAGGAAATAATCAAAAAAGGAATACAAGAACAAATTTATACAGGATACTGGGTAGAACAAAGCCACCAAATATTTATGTCTACCAGAACCTATCAATCTTATTGGGAAATAGGGTCTTTGTGGATGTAATCAAGTTGAAATGAGGTCATACTGGATTCAGGTGGGCCCTAACCCAAGAACTGGTTTCCCTGTAAGAGGAGGACAACTTGGACACAAAGACTCAGAGGCACACCGACCAGATGCACAGGGGGAAGACGGTGACGACAGAGCAGAAAAGAGTGACGAGCCACAAGCCGAGGGAGCCAAGGACTGCCATCAAACCAGCAGAAGCTGGAAGAGGCGAGTCTCCTTCCTGCGGGCCTTCAAAGAGAGCGTGGCCTTGCTGACACGTGGATTTCAGACTTCTTTTTGCTTTAAGCCAGCCAGTTTGGGGTATTTGTTATGGGAGCCCTAGGAAACTAATAACAAACCCACTGCCATCAAGTCAATTTCAATTCATAGCAACACTACAGGACAGAGTAGAACTGCCCATGGGGTTTCCAAGGCTGTAAATCTTTATGAAAGCAGACTGCCCCATCTTTCCCCTGCAGAGTGGCTGGTATGTTTGAACCACTGACCTTTTAGTTAGCAGCAGAAATGGTTTAAGCACTACACCACCAAAGCTCCTTACACTTCAACAAACCAAAAAACCAAACTCATGGCTATTGAGTAGATTACAACTCACAGCAACCCCAATGGGTTTCCAAGGCAATAAATTTTTATAGAAACAGACTGTTCCACCTTTCTTTTGTGCAGCAGCTGGTGGATTCTAATCACTGATACTTTGGTTAGCAGCCAAATGCCTTAACCACTACACTATCAGAGCTCCTCTACACCCCTAATCCAAAACCAAACTCACTGTCATCGAGTTGGGTCCGACTCATAGCGACCCCTCCTTGGGTTTCCAAGATGATGTCAACAATGGAAGTAGATTGCCCAACCTTCCTTCCAAGGAGTGGCTGGTGGGTTTGAACTGCCAGCCTTCCGGTTAGCAGTCAAATGCTTTAAGCACTATGCCACCAGAGCTCCTATACCCCCAAAAGCACTGTTAAAATATAGAACAGCACTGAAAGGAACTGTAAATAGTGGTTATCTCTAGACAGCAAGAATATGAATGATTTTTATTTTCTTATTTACATTTTAACATTTTTATGACCTCTATATAACACTATTATAATCAGCAATAACAATAAACGATGTATTTTTAAAATAAGGTAAAAAAAAAAAAAAAAGTCTGTGGCAAAATGCAGGCCACTTCTTTTCTTACCTATTTTTGTTAAGAAAAGCATCTCCTCTGGTCACAGTGGTATCTCCAGTTAACATCTTGAAAGTTGATGACTTCCCAGCCCCGTTAACTCCCAGAAGTCCAAAGCACTGAAAATATAAGATTGGGTAACTTGTATAGGCAAACTACTACGAGTCAGAATATAAAGACCCTGATAAGATATGCATCTCAGCTTAGCTCTTATATGACAGGATCCTAAAAATTATTCTGTGTTTCATTGACTAAGCAAAGGCCTTCAACTATGTGGATCTAACAAATTATGGATAACACTGCAAAGAATGGCAAGTCCAGAACATTTCATTGTGCTCAGGTGACACGTCTACATAGACCAAGAGGCAGTTGTTCAAACAGAACAGGGGGATACTACATGGTTTAAAATCAGGAAAGGTGTGCATAAAGGTTGTATCCTTTCACCATACTTATTCAATGTGTATGCTGAGCAAATAAATAATCTGAAAGCTGGACTATATGAAGAACACAGCAGTACCAGGATCGGAGGAAGACTCATTAACAACCTGTGATATGCAGGTGACGCGTAACCTCACTTGTTGAAAACTAGGAAGACTTGAAGCACTTAATGATAAGATCAAAGACTACAGCCTTCAGTACGAATTACACCTCAATATAAAGAAAATGAAAATCCTCACAAATGGACCAATAAGCAACCTCATGATAAATGGAGAAAAGATTAAGCTTGTTAAGGATTTCGTTTTACTTAGATCCATAATCAACTCCTATAGAAGCACCAATCAAGAAATCAAATGACACATTGCATTGGGCAAATCTGCTGCAAAAGACCTCTTTAAAGTGTTAAAAAGCAAAGATGTCATTTTGAGAACAAAGGTGCACCTGATTCAAGCCATGGTATTTTCAATCACCTCATGTGCACATGAAAGCTGGACAATGAATAAGGAAGACCAAAGAAGAGTTGATGCGTTTGAGTTGCAGTGTTGGTGAAGAATACTGAATATACCACGGACTGCCAGAAGAATGAACAAATCTGTCTCAAAAGTATAGCCTGAAAGCTCCTTAAAAGCGAGGATGGTGAGATTTCATCTCACACACTTTGGTCATGCTGTCAGAAGGGACCAGTCCCTGGAGAACAGTATTATGCTTGGTAAAGTGTCAGTGGAAAAGAGAAAGGCCCTCAATGAGATGGACTGACACAGTGGCTGCAACAACGGGCTCAAATGTGGCAACGATTGTGAGGATGGTGCAGGACTGGACAGTGCTTCACTCTGTTGCCCACAGGGTCACTGCGACTTGGAACCAACACCATGGCACCTGACAACAACAAATATTATTCCTAAATATCAGTGAAGAGTCAAATATTTCCTTGGATTTATAAAATGATATAGATATTTAAACATGTATTTTATAATGGAGCCATTTTAAGAGTAAGCGTATTTGGAAATATTATTTGAGTCATCAGAATAAGGCCAAAGTTAATGTTTAAAAGACGGTAATGAAAACCAACCAGTCAAATGCCACCATTTAATCTAGATGACAGACATAAAAGAACATAAACATGAATGAGAAAGAAGATAATCTATTTTTGAAATCTACTTGAATATCATCATCATTATGAACAGATCACAAAAGCACATTTTGGATGTTCAGACTTCCTTCAACTGCTTGGAATTACTCAAAATCACCCTCTTTTGACATTGCGGGTCCCATCCTCTCAATGACTGATTGTTCCTTGTAGACATAACAGACAATGTTTTAACACCACTTTTATCCCTTGTAGACATTTTTTTTTCTTTTAAATTTTATTGTGATTTGGGTGAAAGTTTACAGAGCAAATTCATCTTCCATACAGCAGTTCACATACACTTTGTCTCATGACATTGACTGTAATCTCACACAATGCAACAGCTCTCCTCCCACTTCCTCCCTATAGCTACCTCTTCCCTGTGTCCTTCCCTCTCATGCACTCCTGCCCCCCCAAGCTGTCTCCCTGTACAAACACTGCCCTTCTATTCTCCCATGATTGTTCTCTCCAAGGAGTGTATCTACCTAATGTAAATGTTCAGCTCATGTTGTTGTTGTTGTTATGTGACGTCAAGTCAGACTCAACTCATAGTGATCCCTCCTTGGGTTTCCACGGCAGTATCACTACAGAAGTAGATTGCCCAACCTTCCTTCTGAGGAGTGGCTGGTGGGTTTGAACCTCTAGCCTTCTGGTTAGCAGTCTTTTGTTTGGCTGGAAGCCACAGGAGTGGGTTCAATTCCAGACCTGAAGGGCAGTTAGGGGCCATAGTCTCAGGTGTTCCTCCAGGTTCTATCAGATTACCTAACCTGGTCCTTTTTTTTTTCTTTTTTTGTGATTTGAATTTTGTTCCACATTGTTCTCCCACTCTATCCAGTATCTCCTACATAGAGTCCCCTTCTGAGTGGCTGACAAGGGTATCTGGGCACCATCTAGTTCTTCTGGTCTCATAGTCATATAGGCTGAGGATGGCATGGTGTACCAGTCCCTTGGACTAATAGTTTCCATGCATCTTTGGTTTTCCCTTGCAAACATTCTTGCTTTGATTGGGGAGAGGGAGTCTGAATTAAGGGGGACAAACAACCTGGCCAAGTGCCTTTACCTCGCCAGGGGGAATGCCGACACAAATCCTGTCGACTGCAGGCTTCCTCTTCCTTCTGTAGATCTGCAACAAACAAGTCCAAGAACTCATGAGCCTCAGTAGCTCACACCTATCCCTAGGAACCACAGCAAAGGAATTTTTACACAAACACTGAAATCAGGCTCACTGACAAGTCCCGTATCTTATGTGCTCAAAGCCTTGGCTGTCTCGGTGTCAACCAGCTACTGACAGACGCTAAGCTCAATATACCAGTGAATGTCCTTCTTTTAAAAACATCACTAATCAGTCTGTACAAAAATGCATACTGGCCATTTACATAATTTTTCATATAGTATAGAAAAATATTGCTGATATTTTAATATTATATATATATATAAATT